GAGCACCTGCAGGTTTGTCTTGAATAGCCTTAAGCCTGTTAATGAGTTACAAAGGATATCTACTAGAAGGGAGGGGGGCGTGATGAGGTGTGTCTGACCTCCCTTCTCACGGCCAGTGACTCAGCTTTTAGGGTATTTCTGGGATCCCCTTGGCCAAGAGGGGGTCCATTTAGTCAGCTGGGAGGGGGTAGTTTAAGATTTTATTTTAGTTCACAAGAAGTATGTAATTTTGGTCCCCTAAATTTTCTTAGAATCAACATCATTTATATTAAGAAACTTCAGATTTCAATTAATTTATTTGATGAGACCAGTCTCCTCTGGGGAGGTTTAGAAATAACATTTTACAGTGTTATTTAGCAAACATAACATATTAATGTGTATTGCTCCCCTGTCACTACTCCCCACATCCCCGGCAATAATTGAGTTATTGCAGTATGTCAGATACTGTGCATGGCACTTTCTGAGAAGACAACATGTGGGCAGAGAACAAATGGAAGTGAGGAAGCAATCCTGTGGTTCTGTAGGGCTGGAGGGTGGGAGGATTAGTCCAAGTATATGGTACAAAAAGTGTAAAGTGTAAAGGCCCTGAGGATTGACAAAAAGTGTAAAGGCCCTGAGGTGGGAGCCAGCTTAGTGAGTTGAATGAATTGCAGGGAGACTAGTATCGCAGTGGAGGGGTGGGTTGGGGAGAAGCAGAGAGAGTAGTGGGAGTTGAGATCAGCAGAGGCTTTGGATTTTACTTTGAGGATGGGATGCTGTTGGAGAATTTTGAGCAAAGGAGTAACCGAGGCTCAAAGAGTTATGCTTTTGGAATTTGAAGACAGTACCCAAACCTTTTCTAGTAATTCTTACATTGTAAAGTTTCATTGTTAGATATTTTGGGGAAAGTACAAAAAGTTATGTTTCTCACAACAGTCCTGTGAGTAACGTGCCTCTAGCTTAGAAGTTAGAGAGTTGTAGCATGTTACTGAGGAAGGGAAGAGCTGGTATTTACAGATGGGATAGAAGACCTGCCTTTTTGGAGGCAATACGTGTTTAGTATTTCTTAGAATTCAAATCTAATCATGTTATTATGACTCAAGTCAAAGGCATACATAGTTGATTGCCTGAAGGAAGTAGTCTTTAAATTATAAACTGTGTAGTTTTAAGAATGCCTTCCTCTCTTCATTTAATTTTCTATATAAATTTGTATCTGAAAATTTTGCCTTGATCTTAAGTTCCTAGTAGTGATCACACCATCAGGTATTTACTTACCAGATGGGAAAGACTCTGTGTTTTTTTTTTTTTTTTTTTGATACAGGGTCTCACTCGGTCACCCAGGCTGGAGTGCAGTGGTGCGATCATAGCTCGGTGTAATCTCAAAAACTCCTGAGCTCAAGTGATCCTTCCGCAAGCCATCAAGTAGCTGGGACTATAGACATGCACCACCATGCCCAGCTAATTAAAACAAAATTTTTTGTAGAGATGGGGTCTCACTATGGTGCCCAAGCTGGTCTTGAACTCCTAGTCCCAAATCTTGGCATCCCACAGTGCTGGGATTACAGGCATGAGCCACCACACCTGGCATGTATTCTTCAATTAACTGCATATGATGGCATTGAAATTGATGAGGATTCAGGCAGCCTGAACATCAAGAGGGATTTCACTTTCTTTGCTAGTATTCTGAAATCTTGGACAGTTAAGATATAAATGATGAAAATGAAAGGGAATAATACAGTTTTAAAGGCAGATTGTCTCGGGTTCTTGGACAATAGGTAAATTGACTTTTAAAAGATGCTTTATTGTTACTAGCTCATTAATAGTGTGTATTTCCTGTTGACTTAATGATTTTGGAGATATTTTAGTTGTTTCTTTGAGAGGTTATGAATTTTTTTGGTCCATGTATAAGAGACATAAAAACAATGAGTCCTTTTTACTTCTATCTCCTCTTTGCTTCCCTCACCCTCTTCAGTTCTTCTCAGTCATGGAATGGGCACATTTGGCTAAGTTTGTGCAGAGTTTTGATTTTGAGAAAAGGTGGTTGGGCTTGGTGGCACATGCCTATTATCCCAGTGCATTCGAAGACCAAGACAGGAGGATCACTTGAGGCCAGGAATTTGAGACCAGCCTAAGCAACATAGCAAGACCTCATCTCTACAGAAAATAAAAAAAGTTAGCGGGGCATGGTGACATGTGCTTATAGTCTTAGCTACTCAGGAGGGTGAGGCAGGAGGATCAGTTGAGCCGAGGAATTCTAGGTTACAGTGAGCTGTGATTGTGCCATTGCACTCTAGCCTGGGTGACAGAGTGAGACCCTGTCTCAAAAAAAAAAGTGATGGGTGAACTTCAGTGAACTCAATTCTTGTGACCCTTAAAATGGTGGCAGCCCATAGAGATGGTAATATGGTTTTGAAGATAAGTGGTTGCCAAGGTTGGAAAGGAGAATTGACTACAAGAGAGCATGATACCACATTTTCATTACCATTATATTGTGTTAAATGCATCAATAATATGCATTTAAAGTTTCTCAGTGTCTTTTTATGGCTTGAGTGCTCATTTCTTTTTATTGCTGAATAACATTCCATTGTATGGATGTACTACAGTTTATTTGTCCAGTCACCTATTGAAGGACATCTTGGTTGCTTCCTAAGGTTTGGCAGAAGTTATGAATAAAGCTGCTGTAAAAATCCATTTGTGGTTTTTGTGTGGATGTAAGTTTTCAACTTATTTGGTTAAGTATCAAGGAGTGGATTTCTGGATCATATGGTATGATATGTATGTTTGGTTTTGTATGAAACCACTAAGCTTTCTTCCAAAGTGCCTGTACCATTTTGTATTCCTGTTAATGAGTAAGAGTTCCTGTTGCTACACATCCTCACCTGCTTTTGGTGGTGTCAGTGGTCTGGATTTTGGCCATTATAATAGGTATGTAGTGGTATCTCATAGTTATAATTTGTAATTCTCTAATCACATAATGATATTGAGCATCTTTTTGTATTCTTGTTTGCCATCTGTATGTGTCTTATTTGGTGAGGTATCTGTCAAGGTCTTTTGCCCATTTTTAAATTAGGCTGTTTATTTTCTTATTGTTGAGTTTTAAGAGTTCTTTGTATATTTTGGATAATAGTTCTTTATCAGATATGTCTTCTGTAAATATTTTCTCCCAGTCTGTGGCTTTTCTTCTCATTCTCTTGACGGTGTCTTTCACAGAGCACAAGTTTTAATTTTAATGAAGTCCAGCTTATCAATTATTTCTTTCATGGATTATACCTTTGGTGTTATATTTAAAAAATCATTGCTGTACCCAAGGTCACTATGATTTTCTCCTATGTTATCTCCTAGGAGTTTTACAGTTTTGCATTTTACATTTAGGTCTATGATTCATTTTGAGTTAATTTTTTTTTTTTTTTTTTTGAGATAGTCTCACTCTCACTCTGTTGCCTGGGATAGAGTGAAGTGGCATCATTATATCTTACTGCAGCCTCAAATTCCTGGACTCAACTGATCCTCTTGTCTCAGCCTCCCAAGTAGCTGGGACTACAGGTGTGTGCCACTATGCCTGGCTATTTTTAATTTTTTTGTAGAGCTGGGCTCTAGCTATTGCCAAGGCAGTTCTAGAATTCCTGGCCTTCAGTGGTCTTCCCACCTTGACCTCATAAAGTGCTAGGATTATAGGTGTGAACCACTGTGCCAGCCTTGAGTTAATTTTATTTTTACTAGCGTAAAATCTGTGTGTAGATTTATTTTTTTGCATATGAGTGTCCAGTTGTTCTAGTACCTTTTGTTGAAAATGCCATCTTTTTCCATTGTATTGTCTTTGCTCTTTTGTCAAAGATCAGTCGACTATATTATGTGGGTCCATTTCTAGACTCTCTGGTTCTATTGATCTTTTGCTTAATCTTTTGCCAGTACAACACTGTCTTGATTACTGGAACTTTATAATGTTTTGATTGCTTTTATTGAGGAGAGGCTTTTTGGAGAGTCCTACTCTGCCATACTTGTTGATGTCCATTTCTATTATGTTTCTAAAGATACTGGAAAGTGTCACATTGATAAAGTTATTACAATTTTAAAAAATAAATGAAGAAATTAAGATTCAAGGTATAAGATGAATGAATGAAATTTATTATTTCAGCTGTTGTACTCAACAGAAGCAAGGCTATCTCTTCTTTTATTGTTTGTTATATTTTCAGGTGAGGAAAAAGTTGGTTCTTCATAGCTTTGTTGTGAGATTTAAAGGTTAATATATGGAACAGGCTCTCAACAATAAGCTCTCAATTAAAATTAGCTATTATCAACAATCTCTTTTTTCTTCTTTTCTTCATCTCTCTCTTTTAAATACAACTTTTGGCTCCTCTCTTACCCATTGGAGCTGCTTCCTCTTAAAACCTAGTAGAGAAACTCCAGCAAAGCTCTGAAAATAATAGATCGGAATTGAGAAAAGTTGGTAGTAAAATTTCCTTTCTCTGAATATTGTTTTTTATTGTGTAAGGGAAACTTTGGATAGTATGCTGTGTGTGTGAATGCTAAAAGAAAATAGATCAAGAGGAAGATCTGCACTAGCAGGGATGTTGACTTTAGCAGCTGGAAGGCAAAGAAATTAGAGTAGTGTAGTATACTGCATGGGAAATTGATTGAGACCAGGAAACAGAAGGTCTTGGCTGTATTCCCTATCTGGCACAAAAAAAGCACTATAATTTTAGCATTTCTCTGTCCCAACACCTTTATCTGGGAGTTTTTGTGCTGTTTAATTACCATGTCCTCTGAGGTCGTTTCTAATTTTCTGTATCTTATTCAGTTGCAAAGCTTTATGCATTGTAATGAAAATTGAGAATGTGGTATTCATCATCAGACTGTTCTGTTTGGAATAAATTGCTATGACAACTCTAGATCCTAATAAAGCAAAAGTTGGTGTTTTAAAGAAAGATTTGCATTAATATATTTTTTCTAAAAATACCATTGTGTCTCTTACAGAAAATGACAATAATATGATTTTAATATCCTTTTGTGATTTGTTTTAGGTTGGTACAGAGGAGTTTCAACAAAGAAGCCAAATGTGAAGGTAATGAAAAGTTTATTGTTGCCTTTTCTAATGTAGGAAGGAGGTGTCTAGTATGTTTCATATAACAACTACTCTTACTAGTCAATCTTTTATAGTAGCCACAATCATTCTTTCCTTTACAGAATTGCATCAGCCTCTTCTCTGTCTCAGCAGTATTAAAATGGTTTTTCCAAAGGACAAAAAATGCAAATATGGTCATAGCTGTAAAGCTTATCTTGAAAAAGCCAATTTAGGGTTTTTAATATTTTTTCCTTCAAGTATTTGGCAAAAAGTAAATTGACTTATTCATAGGCCTAGTCCTGTGGAACCACATGATTAGATGAATTTATTTCTAAAATACAAAATGGAAAAAATTTTCCAATAATGTCCAATTAGACATTTCTCTGTTGATCATAATATCCTTGTTCAAATATGAATTTAAACCAAAGTTATTAGTACAGAATACTAATTATATGTACTAGATTTTATGTGCTTTATTATAATTAATATTAATTTGATCAAATATATATATATATATTTGAGACAAGGTCTTACTCTGTCACCCAGGCTAGAGTGCAGTGACACCGTCATAGCTCACTGCAGCCTCAAACCCCTGGGCTTATGTGATTCTCTTCCTCAGTCTCCTGAGTAACTAGGGCTATAGGTGTATACTGTCACGCTTGGCTAATTTTACTAATTTTTGTAGAGATGGGGTCTTGCTATGTTGCTCAGGCTGGTCTCAAGCTCCTGGCCTCAAGCAGTCCTCTCACCTTGGCCTCCCAAAGTGCTGGGATTACAGGTGTGAACCACTGCACCCAGCTCCCAAATATATTTTAATTAGCAGTTACACAGTTAGGAGTATTCTTTTCCAGTAATGCATTTGTAAAAACTTTCTGCCTACTCTTTCATATAATTAATACTACCAACTTTTCTTATATATTTCTGTAGTATAATATTTGATGTACTATGTCTTTTCCTATATAGGAAAATGTCAAAATTATCTTTTTATTAAAAAAGAAAGGCTGGGCATGGTAGCTTATGCCTGTAATCCTAGTGCTCTGGGAGGCCGATGCAGGATGATTGCTTGAGCTCAGTTTGAGACCAGCCTGAGCAAGGGCGAGACTCCATCTCTACTATTAAAAAAAAAATAGAAAAATTAGCCGGGCATAGTGGCATACACCTGTAGTCCCAGCTACTTGGGAGGCTGAGGCAGGAGGATTGCTTGAGTCCAGGATTTTGAGGTTTCAGTAAGCTGTAGTGACATTGCTGCACTGCCTGGGCAACAGAGTGAGACTATTTCAAAAACAAAACAAAACAAAAATTCAGAGTTCTAATCACCAGTTTTGCCAGTAGAATCATTCAATTTGATTAGTTTTTAAGGTAATGATTATAAGGAAACAATATCTTCAAATTTTAATGCCTCCTAGCCAGTGTTTCCCATTCTTGACATTGTTGACATTTTGGACCAGATGAGTCTTTATTGTGGGAGACTGTCTTGTGCAGTGTCAGATGTTTAGCAATATATATGGCCTCTACCCACTAGATACAAGTAACTCCCTCTCCCCTAGTGTGGCAGCAAAAAAGGACTCCAGACATTGCCAAATGTGTCACAGGGGCAGAAATGCCTCTGGTTGAGAACCACTGCTCAAAGGTAATTTTTTCCTTGTATTTCTAATTTTGAAACATACTCAAGTATGCTTGTATGGAAATAGTTTGTATTTTATTTTTTAAATTTTGATTTAAAATTGTTGAAAAGTTAGAACTTGAATAAATGAGGAATCTGAGAAATGAATAGAAAGTTGTAATTTGTGATACTACAAGCTATTTATTTATTTTTAGTAATACTTGTGATCTTGGCCACCCCCGCCCCTGCCACCTTGCTTCCAGTACTAGTATTTTGAGGATCATTGTGGAGACTGTGGCTATTGAAATTATTGTTTATTTGTGATTAAATTATCAAACCGATGTATACTGTGTGGCTTAAAAAACACAAATACCCTTAGATATGAATGACAACACTCTTAAAATAGTAAACGTAATTGTTTTGATTATCTATTGCTGTGCAAAAAAAGTATGCCAAAATATGGTGGATTAGACTAATACTCATTTTATCTCTCATGATTTTGTGGCTTGACTGGGTCAGCTGGGAAGTTACTTATTCTGGTATGTGTGGCATCTGGGGGCTCAACTGGCGGGAATGTCCAAGAACGTTTACTCACATGTCTGGCATCTTGGCAGGGATTACTGGAAGGTTGTTCTCATTTGGACTACCAGGATAAGTAAGCTTCTGCATGTAGTCTCTGGGTCTCTCTCTCTCTCCATGTGGCTTCTCCTCATGGCTTCTCCAGCAGGGTAATTAGAGCTTTATTTTAGTACTCAGTACTTCAGAAGTACTTAGAACTTCATACCTAGTTCTAAATTCTTTTTCCTGTAACAAAAGTATTTGGACTCTGTGGGAGAGGCCATTTTATGATTAGTCTTAGTAATGGTTTGAAAAATTAATCAAAATGATGAAACTAAATCATACTATTCTAAACAGTGATAGAGCTATTTTTGTCCTATCAGACTTCTTTAATTTCTTCACTTTGGGCTTATGTGGTACTTCTGAGATTGTGTATTTTGGTAATATCAACTCCATTGTAGACTCTTGGGTTATTGTATTCTTTATAGCAACATGTACCTATATACCTGTTAATAGCTTGTATTTGTATTCTTAAACTTAAAAAAATTAACACTGAATTAAATATTAATATTAAGTCTTAATAACTGAATTTCATCCTGTGGCAGTGACATTTTGTGGAACCAGTTATTTAGTGTTTATAAGGATAACCATTTAGTGATACCATATATTTAAAATGCTATAAAAATAAATGTATTCCTCTATATCTTTTATTTGTTTTAATATTATGGTCATAAGAAGTAAAATTTTCTATAGGTTTTTCATAGCTATTAGTGGTTAAAGAAAAATAAAAGGATGATTTATCAAGGTATATCATTGGCTATGTATGATTTATACTAATAATGAAGTAAAACTTGAAATACCCCAAATAAAATGTCTGAATTAGGAATACATGGTGAAACATTTCTTCTTATAAAATGTTTTAGTGACAAATCTTGCCAAGCTTAATCTTTTTTTCCCCTTTAATAATTTGTAGTAAGATATAACATTTAGAAGGAAAAACTGGGTGATTATAAAATATTCTTTCATCTTTTCACGACTGCATGTTACAATTATATAGTAAACGAGAAGCGTAATGAGGAAATACATATTACCATATTTTATACTAAGTGATTTTAAGAATGATAGTTTTTTGTCTTCCATTTTTTTGAGGACTTTATTTTTGCAGCATAAACTTGTAGGGTAAAATTTAGCTTGGCTTTATAATTTTAGAGACAAAAACAAGGTTTTGAGACATAGTGTTATCTTTTACTGGTGACATATCATGTTATGTATTTGTTAGGGTCATGAAAATATTAACTTTCTTAAGAACATACATAAAAAATTAATGAATAGGAGAATAAAATAAAATTAAGAAAAAGGACAACAGATATTTGACTTCAGTTTTGTGCTTTTTATAAAACATATGCTAAAGTGGAAAAGAATAAAATTTAGTAGAATTTATATTTACTTACATTTTGTGGTTTCAGGATCAGCTTTTATACAATAATTGTTAACAGGATGCCTAGAATTCCATATGATAGGAATAGGGCCTTATACAGTGTTTTGTACAGCAGAAAATTGCAAGACATACTTAGGGAATGGTAAATAGTCCAAGCAGGCTAGGGCATAGTACAGGAGAGTGATGAATGATAAGGCAGGAAAGGTAGGTTGGACTCATATTTGGAGTCTTATATACCAAAGAATACAAAGAATGCTAAGGAATTTGGACTTTGTCTTTCTGGCAATAGGGACTCTGTCATTTAACAGAGGTATGGATTAATTATTGTCATACAGTGTAACTATAATGTAGGGTTTATTGGAGAAACAGTAAGGACCTGTTAAAGATACATATTGAAGTATTTATAGATCATTTCTGAAATTTGCTCTAAAATACTACAGTGGGTAAAAATGTGTGTGGGGATAGATGAGTCAAGGTTGACTAAATGTTGATAATTATTGAAACTGAATGATGGATTTATGAAGAATCCTTATACTGTTGTCTAATTTTGTGTGTATTTGAAATGGGGATGATATTACTTAGAGAATTCTTATGAGTAATCAGTGAATTTATATGAAGTCCTTAACCCAGTGCTTAGCACATGATAAGAACATGATAAATAATTACTCCTTTTGCTACGTCAACTATTACTATTAAAGCATAAGTTTGGAAATGAGACTGTAAAAGACTGCCAACACCTTGGAGGAGGACAGAGAAAGAGGAACTAGCAAAAAGTCTGATAAATGAAGGTCATAGTTGGCGAAGGAGAACATTTTTAAAAATCAGAGTAATTAATGATTTCATGTACTGTGGAGTAGTCTAGCAGAATGTATCCTGAATAGGGGCCAATGTGTTTGACAATTAGAAAGCCATTGATGATTTTTAAGAGAATCTCATTTAATTAGATGGTGGTGGCAGAAAGCCAGAGTCTAATGAGTGATAGAGAAGACAGAGAAGTTACTACAATAAGTTATAGGTGAAAAGGAAGAAAGAAAATGCAGATTCTGGGGAATATAAGATTGTAGTGGTGATTTTGGGAGTGGAAGACTGATGAACATTTTTTATTTGATTTATGTAAATTCTGGAAAATGCCAGTAATTTATAATGCTTTAAACCAGTTCAGTGGTTGCCTGCAAATTAATGTTGAAGAGAGGGATGGATTACAAAAAGGTATGAGGAAACTTTTGGGATTGATGGAAATGTTCATTATTTTAATTGTGCCCATGATTTTACTTCTGTATATATATGTCAAAAACATCAAATTCTGTACTTTAAATATGTGAGTTTATGGTAAATCAGTTATTTATCAGTAAAATTATAAAAAAAATTGTTTTTACAACAAACTCTGAAGATGTGATTTCA